TGGATCATTACTTTATCAGCTCCTGCACCATGGCAACCCAAAATGCCCCACTGGATCCAACTCATTAAATTAACACACCGTTAAAACCCCCAATCATAAAACACTATAAGACCTCAGAGAATAAAACATTTACAGTGTGATCCTAAGCAGAGTTACACCCAGGGGTCATTTCCTGCAGGAGCACACAGGAGCAGAGCTCCTGGACTAAAGAGCCCAGGGGGCGGACACATGCAACAAGCCCCACCCCCTGCTCCCAGCAGCCCTCAGTCAGAGCAAGAAGCACCCAGGTAAGTTGCAGAGCTCCCCCCAGTCCAAAACAGTCCAGTGGCACCTTTAAGACCAAGTTTTATTCCGGTACAAGCTATCCCTCCTCTGTGAGGACAGATCTGCATGTCCCCCCCTGCCCCCCCAATAGCTAGCAATCCAAAACAGTCCAGTGGAGCCTGAGCGGTGGGTGTTGCCTTCTGACACACTTCTGGTGATGTCAGGGGGTGTAGCATATGCAAATAAGCTGTGCTAATGAGTTATGCTAATGAGCTCCTGCACCTCTTTTTCTACGAAATGACCCCTGGTTACACCCTTCTAAGTCGATGGACACATGTGCTCCATAATTTCAGATTGAAATTGGGACGTGCTTCTGAAGGTGTAGGGGGCGTGGCCAGGCAGCCCAGGGGGCGTGGTCCACAAGTCCAAACAAGGTTTTCCATGGCATGAATCCATAAAATGGGTCAAAAAGGATTTTTTAATTTAAACATATGTATAGAGAGACTCAATGTCCCTATACAGAGGGCAATACAACAACACACAATCAACTCTTTCAACTGTGTCCATTTCCACTAGGGTTGTCAGGTCTCCCCCCGGCCAATGGCGGGAGGCGGAGGGGATAGGGTTGCCAGCTCCAGATTGGAAAACTGGAGCTTTGGGAGTGGAGCCTGGGGAGGATACCATCTATCTTCCATCACGGACCTTAAGGAGGCACAGTGTGGTTACCATGCTGATTCTGTTCCATGGATATGACTTCCTCTCACCCGGGATTCCTACGTGGCTCCCTATGCAACTGCCAGCATAATGCAACTTCCCCTTCTATATTTAACCTCCCAAAGACCACTGGACAGCCCAGTTCAAGAAAAAGATCCTCCCATATGTCCTTTTCCCTCCAACCCCTTACGCAAGAAAGAGTACCCAACCTAGGATCTGGACACCACAAAGCCTTTGAACCTGGGGATAGCTAAAAAATAGCCTCTGCCATGGAATCAATTAAAAAAGAGTGCCTTCGACCATGTGCAAAAGATTTCCACCCATCACCCCAAGGTTACCACAACCACCTGTACAACTGCCTCCAAACAAGGGTGTATGTGCACCAAGAGCTTCCAAACAAAGGTGTATATGCATTGCCTTTCAGGAAGTTAGCTCCATGAACCCCCTTCATTTCCTTGTTCCCTCGCAGCACTCCTTCCTTCCTTCCTTCCTTCCTTCCTTCCTTCCTTCCTTCCTTCCTTCCTTCCTTCCTTGTTCCTCCCTTTACACCACCCCTTAATTACCGCATCCCATGTCTCCAGACCCCCGCTGTACTTCTACCCTTCTCATGTACTCTGTCTTCCAGGCTTACATTAACATCCCCCTCCACATCTCATAACTTCTCTCTTCACCACCCCACCCCTAACCCTCCTTCATATCTATTCAGAACCACCCTACTCAGTAACCCTAGTGCCCACTTCCACTCCACTGTGACTCCAGGGTGACTGCTGCAACTCCCGGGTGTAGGGGGAGTTCGAGTCATTTTTCCTGCATATTTGGAGGGGGGCCCCCCAATATGTAGAACTCTCTCCTCCCCCACCTGCCCCATCACATTGTGCAGACTTTGCTGCCCGCCATGACTTCCACTGTTGATATCGCAGTAGGGGGAGGAAAGGAAAATACATTTTCCTCCGTTAGTGAGCAAATGCTTTACTGGCAACCAGAGAAGGCAATGAAAGGGAAGGAGAATGAAATGGAGATCTCCCGCTGTTACAACTGATTGTCAGGTGACAGAGATCAGCTCACCTGGAGAAAATGGCCTCTTTGGAAGGTGGACTCTATGACATTAGATCCTGTTGAAGTCCCTTCCCTCCCCAAACCCTGCCCTCCACAGGCTGCACTTGCAAAATCCCACGTATTCCCCAACACAGAGCTGTACCTACCCCGAGGGAGGGAACACAGTAAGAAAAACAGAGAAATAAACGTGTCTTTCCAAAAATCACCCCAAACGTACTCTGCTTGTGACTGCAGTGGCGTAAACAGTAATGCCAATACACACTCGCCTAGGATTAAGCCCTGCTCAGTGCGGCGAGGCCTATTTCTGAAGAACAACACCTAGGATGAAACTGTACCGCGCGAAGTGTTTTTGATTTGAAACAGTAAGAAAGTATGAAAGCCAGAACACAAACAAAGGCCAAAGGAGTGTTTTCTTCCTCTTGTGGCAACTCGGCACCAGGCCTTTTATTCTGTGCCTCCCAGCCCGCCAGTCTTCAGCTGAAGGACCTGAGGCACCTGTGCTGAGGTAACATAAGAAGCTGTTTCTCTTCAGCACCGTCTCTCTGACAGGGCTTCCCTGCTGCCTCTTACAATGGGGGGTGGATCAGAGCTGGCAGAGGCTGAACTGAGAGGCATGACTAGCTCTCTGAAGGAGCCGATGCCACTGGATGGGGAAGGAAGGCTAGACATCCGGGATTCTTCTCGGAAGATTGTTCCGGAGGGTAGCCGTGTTGGTGTTCAGTAGAACAGCTACATCTGAGTTCAGTAGTGCCATAGAAACTGACAGGATTTTCAGGGTATACGCTTTCAAGGGTCAAAGGCAGTGTTCCCTCTAAGCTGAGTTAGAGTGAGCTAGCTCACAGTTTTTTAGCCTCTGGCTCACACATTTTTGTCTCAGCTCAGGAAGGGTGGCTCCAGAGCAAACTAATTTATGCAGGAGCCAAATTTCTTGCTCACAACTTTAATGTCAGTAGCTCACAAAGTAGAATTTTTGCTCACAAGACTCCACAGCTTAGAGGGAACATTGGTCAAAGGTATCAAAAAAAGAGAGCTTTGACTCTTGAAAGCTTATACTCCCCCATCCCAAATTTTGTTGGTCTCTATAACAATCTCTACAAATTGTAAGTCTCTTGAATTTAAATCTGGGATTTTTCAGGGACACTTCATTACATCATCTGATAATGGTGAAAATTTGGGGTGATTCGAGACAACTGAAGGGTTGGGTGCTGTTCTTTGACTTTTTTGTCATTTACTTTTACATTTTTATAGGGGTACAGAAAAGAGAAAGGGTAGGGGGAGAAAAATGGAGAGACAAGCCAAAAAAAACCAACCATAGGGCACTTATGTTCTTTGACTCTTTAAAGGGACAGTTTTTATAAAATGGACCAAGCCACTTGTGGCTGACACATCCTTATCTGAAAAGCTAGTAACACGGCCAGTGAGGGTACACAGCACATAGATGGATGCCAAGGTGAGGGCTGTGTCCCCTGAGGACCTTGCTTCTACTTGAACATGACATATCCTGTCAAAGAATGACTGTGCAACCTTCTCCCTTGGAGCCTGTTTGTGCGGGGGAAGAGGCACCCCCACCTCCAAAGTCCAAAAGAATGGACACCCATGGGGGAAGTCTAGGAGAAGCTGAGAGGCCCAGCTGTGGAAGTGACAGGGAAGGAGGAAACAGTGACGAGGGCAGCATCGACAGGGAAATGGCCCAGCAACAGCATGAGGGAGAAACTCCAAGAAGGCCCTACAGGAAGTTCCATGATGCCCGAGGAATGTACACAGTGGCTGGTGCTTCTGCACAATCCCCAGTCAACAGGCACATTTATCCCAATCTATAGAAGAGCATGAGGGATCTTCTCTTAAGGCTTCATTCGTGTATCCCGTCTTGAAAGTTGGACATCACCACAGTACTGCTTCATTCATCTTAAGACATTTTTTTCTACCTGCCTTTTTC